GGTGGAGATGGAACAGTAGAAGCGGAGATGGATCGACAACTGGAATCGGAGCGGGTGAAGGTGGAATCGGAGCTGGTGGAGGTGGAATCAGAGCTGGTGGAGGTGGAATCGGAGATGGATCGACAACTGGAATCGGAGCTGGTGGAGATGGAATAGTAGAATCGGAGATGGAATCAATTATAAACTACAAAAATGAAGTTCTTCTCTTTTTTAGTAAAAATTAGGTACCTCCTTCTATGTCGAATATCTCAATGTCAAATAGGCGAGTTTTGTTCTAGAGACGGTTCTTGGGGTTTTTAGGTGATCTTTTCTGCAAAATCAACAGGTATAAAGGGATTTTTGAAAATTGAAAAAAGTTTATTGAAAACAAAAAGATTGAAATCAAAATTTAAATCCTGATGGATGCAGTTTGCCAAAACAACTTCTTCGTTCCTTCCTTCTAAACCACAACGCTTTCAAAGCTCCATAGGATTCGACCGTTTTAATCCTTTTTTCTTTATCCAGGTCTTCCGAGGAGTTCACTTGAATAAATCCATAAGGATGGTCTTTTTCTGAAACTTATAGATTGATTAAAATTGATAAGCTTTTTTTAAAAATCACTTCAGAGTTGGCCATGAGCTCGATATGCTCCCAGGATTGCAGATTTTTCTGAAAAAAATGAAGTGTTTAGATTGCTCAGACAGTTATTGAGATTAGGCTTACTGTGTAGAGTATTTGACAATCCAATTCTGGTCCTTTTGGCGAGGAGAAGCATTTTTTCCAGCAGAACTCCTGGAAAATATTGGTTTAATGTGGTTCCTCTAATAGAAGGCCACTCAAGCCAGCATCTTTGAGCTCGATTATCTCAATTCCTGTAGAAGATATAAAAAAATTGTCAACTAATGAAATTTTTATCATAATATCAGCAATATTTTATCAGTTGGCAACTTTTTGATATCTCACAAAGGAATTAAGATAATTGAGCTCAAACTCACCATGGGATTGAATTTGATTGATTGTGTCGTTCATTTTCAAACAGGTGAAGGATTCTGAAGAGTGAGATTCTTTGTCTCGTCCATCATCGCAAGAAGATCCAAAAGGAGAAATCCAAAATAGTTCAGTACGGTGGTGCTGAGCTGGATGGAATTGTCTGGTTGGTAGTTTCAGAAGTCCGGAAAAGTCTGAAAAAATTGAAGAGAGGGTGCGCCATGTTTAAAGGCGCATATCTCAAAAACTACAAAAGGCGCTCAATAATAGTTAATAATAATTTTGTGTAAAATTTAATTTTGAACATTTTTGTAGTTTACAACTTTTTTCTAACTGCTTTAGTTTTTGAGATATGCGCCCTTAAAGATGGTGCGTACTTACAGGTTGAAGAGGAGCCCGGGGAGTAGGTGCGCCATTTTTAAAGGCGCATATCTCCAAAACTACAGTAGCTTGTTAAAAATTGTTACTTTCAAAAATGTTTAAAATTAAACTATACACATTTTTGCAATTGACACGTTTTAGGTAGCTACTGTAGTTTTTGAGATATACGCTTTCAAAGATGGCGCGCGCGCGAACAGCTTGAGAGGAGATTCCGAGGGCGCGCCATCTTCAAAGGCGCATTTCTCCAAAACTACGGTAGCTACTTAAAACTTGTCAACTACAAAAATAGAGTTCTTTTCTTGTTTAGTATAGACTGAAATTTCCAGACAAATTCAATACTAACCTTTTCAGGAAAATCAATAAAAAATAGAAATCTTCCAAAAACCCGTTATAGGGTTTTTTGGAAGTTTCTAGGAATAAATAGAGGTAAATTAGTAGATATATTCAGAAAAATAAAGGAGAAAACTCTCCAAAATCCATTCATTTTCAGGATTTTTGGAGAATTCCCGGTGAAATTTAGACGTCTATTCAGTCAAGTCGTCGGAAGGGGTAAATGATGCCCGCGGGCGTAGCTGGCGTCGGGAGGACCTCGGAGGGACCTCTCTGCTTCTTTTCCCTCTCCTCTTTTACATGCTCTCTAACATGTACTAAAGTGTAATACAAGGACGAAGATGCTTTAGGGGTCCGTGGAGGGTCCCCCATAAATTTGTAACGAGAGGTCTGTTCAGAGAGGTATCAGAAAAAGAAGGGGTTGTAACTTTGAGCCTATTTATCTCGGCTCCTATAATAGATATCAAAAAGTTTTTAACTGATAAATTGTTTATCATAAAATGAGCTGTTTTTTATCAATTGACAACTTTTTGATAACTTTTACAGGAAATGTAATAAATGGGCTTAAAGTTGATGACTCGGTATGCGCCTTTAATAGAACCTGAAAGATAGACGGGTCATATTAAAGGCTCCTTTTATTTGGGTTCAAAGTTTGAAAACTGGAATAAATAACAAAATAATGTTTATTGAAAAAGCGGTCATATCGAAAACAAGAATCAAAAATCGAGTTTTAAAAAATTAGATTTCAAGAAATCCGATGCTAGCATATGAATTGTTGAAAAATGTCCCAAATTTTGGAATGGCCCAGATACTGTATCTGAAAAATTATAATTTGCAATGGAATAATAGGATTTATATGATTTACCTCTGTCTGGATCGATGCGATATTCTAGTTTCCTGCCCTTGCCAACGTTGATGGCTGGATCTGTACGTTCGAATGTCCACAAGAACTTGTTTTCTGGAAGATTATATTTTTATATCTCAAAAACTAGAAAAGCTGCAAAAAAGTTGTGAATCGCAAAAATGTGTGAAATTGAGTTTTACACATTTTGCTAGTTTATAACTTTTTAATAGCTCTTCTGGTTTTTGAGATATGTGCCTTTAAAGATGGCGCGCGAGGAGGAGCCTCCTAAGGGGCGCCATCTTTAACGGCGCATATCTCAGAAACCAATACAGTTTGAAAAAAGTGGTCAACTAGAAAAATGTACTTACCTGGTGCTTTTGATGCTTACTACTCCTCCCAATAAGAGTTCCCGTACGTAGATGTTTTTTGATTAACACTGATAAAAAGATAATATAACTCTCTGCGTAGATCACATCGCAGTTTGATGAGTAATCTTTCGGGTAGACGTAGCATTTCGACATTGGACAGGCGCATATCTCGAAAACTACAGTAGCCACTAAAAAAATTGTCAACTACGAAAATGCAGATAATTTAATTTCCCACATTTTCATAGTTATCAACCTCTTGGTAGCTACTGTAGTTTTAGAGATATGCGCCTTTAAAGATGTCGTGCCCTAGGATGCTCCTCCTCACGCTGTAAGCGCGCTTAAAAAAATAAAAAATTCATTGGTACTACTGTTGCTGGGGTTTTCATATTAACCATACTTGTAACCCGGGCCTTTGCCGGGCCTTCGCGGGCTCTGCCATCATTTCTTTCAGAATCGATAATTTCGAACCAACTAAATCAGATATGATAGAGCTCCACGAGTACTACAAAACGGTATTATTTGGAATACT